CTTCTTTGTTACTTACACACAACTATTCGTATTTACTTGCTGTCTTTGGCAAGCCTTTATATTCTTAGGTTTTTTTTTAACATTAAAATGTTTAGTGATTCTATTCAGCTATTTTTTTTAAAAAAAATTAGCCTAATAATGCAAATAAACTTATATTTTATCATAAATTTTAATGAAAAAAATGAGAAAACTACTAAATACCTCATTCGAAAAACATGAGTCTTTCCTTTGAACTTTGGAAAAATTATTCTAAAAAACAAGTGCATGCGCTTATCACCATGAATTGTTTTAAGTAAATAAAATAACTATTTTTAAATTATAAAAAAAACTTATATTTCAGGAGATCATTCTTCTCTAAAACTGTTTTACTTAAATGTTTTCAAAGTACAAATTTTCAAATAATAAACACTTTTTAATGCTTTTACACCAAGTGGAAATCAAATATTACGTGTTTGTTTTTTAAACCAATCTCCACCATCTTTATTTTCCTTCTTAAATTTTATAAAATAGTTGGTCAAGGGAGAGAAAAGGCTAAGCAATTTCCAATAAATATATCCTAATCCCTCTAACATAAACAATAAAACCATGATGAAAATATATAAACGTGTCTCCCAAAATAAGGTCTCCGACCATACATTACCAACTTCAAATAATAAACAAAATATTTAACTCAGCATACGGAAGTTCTTCAATGAACATACAAAAAGGCTAACAAAATTATTCAACAACAAAAATAATTAACAAACTACGAATACAAAATTTTTCTGTCATAACACATGAAAATTAAATAAACTATAAACTCTGCAAACTATTCAACAAAGATAAAATATAATTATACAAAAAGTAAGGAACTAACCTTCTCTTCCTCTCTGGAGAATAAGTGAATAGCTAATGCGGTGCCTTCTCCCCAGCACTCCCCGGCTTTTATAACCATTTCTGCTTATCTCCCCAACCACCTCAATCAATCCACCGCACTGAATGCCACCAAACAAACCATCAACCACCGCACCGCACTGAATGCGCGGAATTTGCGAATCTGGCCGGGGACACGACAGCTGCCAAGAAAAAAACAATGGAATGCGCCAACTATATAGGCGCATTCTATAAATTACGCCAGATGTTTTGGCTTTAGAATGCGCTAAACGATTACGCGCATTCTTTAGAATACGCTAAACGATAACGCGTACTCTTTAGAATGCACTTTTTATTACGGCGTATTCTTTAAATACGCCAATTTTTATGGCGTAGTTGCTGTTTCTCAAATTATTATGAGACCACGCTGCTTCTCCTAATAACGGCATCAACCGTGCTACTTCCGAAAATTTGGCCAATATTTTTTAGTTTTTGGTGTTTTCTCAACATAATAAAAATTAAAGTGAAACTTCGGAGTATTCCAAATCCCGCCCCGCGGGCCATTTTTTGCTTAAAAGAAACCCACTCATTTTGAGCGAAAAAGGAAATCACACAAGGTCAAAAAGAGAGAAGCCCATGGAACCATCTTCGTCGCTTCATCCTCATCTTTTATTTAATTACACTTCACTCCCTAAACCCTAGCGGAGCTCAGGGAATTCAAGAGAAAACAAGCATAAGCAATGGCGAGTCTTGTCGCTTCACCACTCGCTTCCGGTTGCTTCGACAGAAGAGAAAATAAGTAGAAGAAACACAACTAACTGCCAATGCTTTGGCTTGGGCACCCACTTATGGGACCATCAGTAGCTTGAGTCTGATCGCTTCAGCAGTTATCTTCTCCTCTGTAGTTTTTGGCTAATTTTTTTCTCACCCCCTATTTGCGCTGACTTGGCATTTGGCTATGTTTTCTCGAGATTTCAAGCATGAGAAGCAATGGCATCTCGCTATGTTTTCTCGAGATTTCAAGCATGAGAAGCAATGGCATCTCCAAGATATCTGATCCATACCGATGCTTTTATTGATTTAGATGATTAAAAATTGAGAGTAATAGGATATTAAGTATCGATTAGTATCTTCTCCTCTGCCAATGCTTTTATTGGATCGTTGCCACATAACATGTTAGGCCAAGTTCAAACGTATCGATTAGGATAGCTATAGTATATTAAGTAATCAAGGAAGGAAACAATCATATTGTCTATAATTGACCAAATGAAATATAATTAATCTACCAAGTTCATATGATGCTCATGATTCTTGAAGAATATTTTACTTTCACTACTTTGAAGTCGGTGCAAGAGTTAAGTGGTCAATTATAGTATTATTATGCCCCCCCAACATTTTTTATTATAAAGAATAGTAGTTAATCAGATTTATTCTATTATTCATCCGTTATAATTCTAATTTTTACATAAAAATAAATTATGGTTTCAAGGTTGAATCAAAAAAATTAAAGAAATATTTGAAAAATCTAATTTGTGCCCCCACTAATAAAATTTCTGGTCTGCCACTATTTTGACATCAATTAGGGTTCGTATTAATGTTCAATTATTAATTATTTTGTAAGTGCAAGCGCTCATGATTAATTATATTATGATCTATATGTATAGAACAATCTTGATTGAGGATATTTTTTGGGGTGGGCATTAAGACCAATTAAGACAAACTCACCAATGACCTCTTGGTTAGTGGCCAAAGCTCATAACCAATAAACCAAGTTGAGTTACATTTGATTGGGGATATTAACTTACATCACATATTGAAAGTTATTGTCAAAATTATATTTGATATGTTAAAGCTGATACACAATGTTTTTAGTAGTCAAATAGAAGAGAAGAAAATGGGAAAAAATCCCACAATAATGAGTTTTTAATAATATAAACTATGTTTTTAATGACTTCATGGTGTTACTATTTTGTTTTTTTTTTACAGTAAAAGTGCAAATTTGTATCATGTTCTAATGAAACAAAGAAATGTATTTTGAATAATATGAATACAAAAATGAAGGCAATTGAGGTTAAGGATGTAGAATTTGATGGTAGATTGACTAAAATAAAATGGCTACAATTATTTCTATTCTTAAGTTGTGGGCTTACTTTTTATCCTATAAAGAAAATGTGCTAAATATATTTAGTCTTCGTTTGGGATAATTTTTTTATTGTTTTATAAAATTATTATAGAGAAAGTTGTTTTTAAGCTATTGTAAAAATAGTTTTCCAGTATATGAAATTTTTTAAAGCAGTGAAATATTAAGGACAAAAAAAAAATTATAATTGTGATCTAAAATTAAAGTAGTAATAAAATTGACACAAATGAAGCCTTATTTCCATGTAGCTAATGTGGTTCTGAAATGTTTGCTCTATGGAGTGTGAGCTTTGATGGTTTATGTCAATAACAACATTTTAGGTATTTTATTATACTTTCGGATGTTGCATAAAATTCTTCGTGTTTTGTACATATTGATTAGCTTTTATATTTTATCTCTTTTTGAAGACTCAACAATTGTATTAGATTTTGCCTATTGCTTTAAAAGATCAATCAATACAAAGTGTTTGCCAATCATTGATGCCCAACCAAACGCCTGTTTCTCTTCGTTAGCTGCTTCAATGACGTCGGATATAGCTTGAAGCTAAATTTGTTGATCCTTTAATTTGCAGCCCACATCTCTTTTGTTCTAGAGAAAACAACTAGTCTTCTAACCAAATTCCTCCCAACAATAAGCTTTCAGTCATGAACTGTTGGTACTAAGAAAATAAAAAAGCTTTATGCCATCAAGAGAATTCTGAAATAAGAGAAAGTTCTAATATAATTTTTTTTTTTTTATACTTTAAAAGAAATATGAGTAGTATTACTTCAGCTTCAGTTATACTATTTAAAAATATAGAGCTAAAAGCATTATTCAAGCAAATAATTCATTAAACTAATTTTCCAACAAGCATCATTTATTATCATTAAAATTAAATACTTCATTAGTTGTGATCATGGGATCAACAAGTGTATGCAAATTAAAAATTTCATTGAGTGGAACGATATAGAATGCAAATAAAAAATACATCTACATATTCATCAATCTCATAATCCAACGGAACTCTGATTTAAACAAACTTATATCGAATTGAATTTCTCAACAAGCCAGTGATATAAAAATTTGGTTTGACTCTAATTTGAATGACCCCAAGTCAATCGTTTTAAGTGTAATTGAAAAACCTTAGGACATTAATTAGACAATTAAAAGATCTCAAAATCTTGTATTTTTATAGTTGAATCGAGCATCCCAACAGTCAAATCCAATGAGACTAAGATCATGAGGAGATTTTATTCAGAAATCAATTCCATATATATTCTAGTAATGTGAGCTTGTGAGGGCATATCATAGGGAGTCCCCTTAATATTCTTGTATGAGATATAATTTAGCAAATTATAAATATTAATTTCTAATTACTTTGCCAATGAACATTTCTTAAAAAGCTGAAGCAATTCCAAGCATATTTTCATCCCCTAAATTTGCACAGGCCCAATATACACAGTTAGAAGCACTTAAAAGGTCAAAACAACTATCACAAATCTATATATTACAATAATTCTAAGATTTATAATCTAAATAAACTTAATAACATCTTAAGCAGATAATTGCAATGAGCAACAAATAAAAAAGTGATTGTAAATTGCTAGGCTTCCATACAAAATCAAGGCCATTTATATTCCTCCACAATGAACAAACACAGGATATTCATTACTGCAGAGCTACAGACTGATAGTCTGATAGAATCTGAACTAATTTTACTATGCCATTGATCAGCCAATCTCATAATCCAACGAGTATCTCATTAAGCCCAATAATTTTCGTCCCTTTAGTATCAAAACAAATTTTACCATAAGTCCACTAAGATTATTAAACCATCCCCACATTAAGTACAACGTGATAGTTTAGGATAAAGATGTGGTCATATAGTTTTATTAGAAAAAGAATTATGTGCTCATCAAAGATTGCTTAATTTTTATCGATTCAATGGCGACCATAACATATCTATGCTGGGAGTACATAGGAATTTACTTGCTGTGTACTCCAGAAATAGATGAAGTACTCCGTTATATACTGTTAGTATATTTTTTGTGTACTTATCATTTTGGAGTACATAGCAAGTGCACAATATGTGCTTATTACACAACAAATAAACAATTGCATAAACAAAATTCTCTGATTAAGAACTAAATCAACAAACACTGGAAAACATATCTTTATTTCCCCTAAAGAAAACCTCACTCCACCTTAAAAGCAGCTCAGAAATTCAATGTCAAATATAGAGATGAGGATGAAGAATGATGAGAAAGAGCATAAGTAGAATAGCAAAGATAAGAGCATGAACTAAAATAGAAACACAGCTGGTCTTCATATTAAAGAATTCAACAGGCCTATATCTCCCCGCCATCTGAATTATTACTCCTGGACTCAGAAATCCGAACAAGGCTGAAGCTATAATCGATGCCGCCCAGTCTTTCATTTCTTCGCTGCAAATTATATGGTAAGTTAGCGTTTGGGAAGAAGAATATGAACAACAAACTTTATAAGAAGCTGGGACTAAGATGAAGGTAATATAAATTTTTGATTTATTTCTTATATATTACACTCTTCTCAGAGTAAATATAATGGTTTTTTTTTTCTTTCAAAGTGGTGTTTTTTGTCTAATAGGAATCTGGGAAAGTTGATCAGAAGATAACAATTATGCAGAAGGAATCTGCTTTTTTCAGCTTTAAAAACAGAATAAGTTCTCTTCTATCTCTTGTTGTTACATAAGTATTGATGTTTTACAATTAATTATACTTCTGATTAGCGTCTAATAAGATACAAAGTGAACCTTATCACGGCAAATTGTAGAGAGAAAGAAATATATTAGTAAGGTTTGATAAGATGAGAAAATAGAAGACAGAATAGAGTTTATAGAAGGTATATTTATATAAAAAAAAGAATATATTTGAAGCATATTAGGGTATGATACGTCAACAAAAATAGCTTTGATTGAGCACGAATCTTGAGGCATATTTTAGTTGGCAACCTCGAAGATTAAATGCGGGAACATCTAAACTCCGATTTCGACAAACTTATAATCAAATTGAACGTCACAGCCAAACAAACAAATTGGTTCAATCCGATCGTAAATGGGCTAAAATCAAGGACTTCAAATATATTTGCAAACTCCAAAGTATTAATTGGATGACTAAATAATATCCAAATCTAGTATGCTTATAGTCGAATCGAGCGGCTGGACGAGAAGAATCCAACGAGCCAAAGTTCACTTTATTTTGATAGCAATAAGGCCCTTAAATGCTAAACAAACACTTCATAATTGAGAGAATCAATAAAACATATCTGATGGAGCACTCTTAATTTGCCCTAAATCTTTTCCATATTTATGGAGCATGCCACTATGCAAAATCTATAATAAATTCCACCCCCTCTTCCCACATGGAGGGGGCTTGGACTTTTGGAGACTAGAGACTCAATAGTGCTCGAAGGATCGAAGCATTCCGGAGCTCCACCTCAGCACCACCGTCAGCGAACCCTCGCCACCAGGCCGTTGCTATCAAACCTTTGCCCGATCATTGCTGTCAAACCTCCATCTGGTAACCATCGCTAGGCCACCAACTTCCATCCCCCATCGACTATGGTCCCTGTAACCTCTGTCGCCCACCGACTATAATCTCTTTGACCACCGTCGACAACCAACTATGTATATATATATATATATGGAGCATGTAAGGCTTCAGGCATACTTCAGTGGTATATTTGAATCCAACGCATCCTAATGAATTTTTTATATGGAAATATATTGATAGAATTTTTTGGTTTCATTCTAGCAAGGTGGGGCACGTACCCCCCTTAAAAAATTTGAAATTTTTTATTTTTTAATCTCATGACAAAATCAAGTTGGAAACTTCAAAAATTAAATCAGAGACCATCTGAACTCTGATTTTAGTAAACTTATAGCCGAACTGAACGTCTCGAAAATACGAACCTAACGACACCCAATTCAACTCAATCTGAAGCCAAATGACTCCAAATCAAAGACCCGAAGCATATTTGTAAGATTCAAACCATAATTTGGATTAACAAACGGTTTCCAAACATGACATGCTTATAGTCAAATCGAGCGGCTAGACAAGACGAATCCAATGAGCCCAAGATCGCCAAATTCTGATATCGCTAAGACATTTAAATGCCCAATAAACAGCCCACAATCAAGAAATTTAACATCGGTCATCCATTTAAATCACTATATATTTAATTTCCTATTCATTTACATTTTTTTCTTGATTGATATTAGCTTATTCCTATAATGATTCGATCTTAAAGAGATTTTATGATTTTTTTTAGCAATGAGATTTTTAATATCACGTATTTAGTTAATATATTAATCATGTTCTAGTAGAAATCGAGTGATTTCAGTATTGAAGTCATTTTGTGAAAGAAGAAAATAAACTAATTAATTACCAAAGTTTTATCATTTTTAATACTGATTATATTGGTCATAAGCCTAGATGTAAAATGTTGAACGAAAATAAAAAAAAATTAAAATTTAGGCCCCCCTAGATATATTTTCTGGCTTCGCCACTGCAAATTAGGGTATGATCCGTCATCAAAAATAGCTTTGATTGAGCATGAATCTGAAGGCATATTTTAGTTGGCAAATTTCTGTTGACCTCATTATTTGAGGTCATTTTTTTCGAAACTAATCTTTAGTGTCTAGGTCCTTAAAGTCTAAAAAAAAAAGGTCCGCATAGTCTAGAGTAGATGTTACCTTTAGAATTTCTATTAAGTGGATACCTATTGACGTAGTATTGACTTAGCCTCCAAATTCGACATAAATGGATGGGAGAGGAAGTGAAATTAACTCAAATCAGGTTTGATTTTAGGACAACAGCCCTGATTAATTCAAATTGAATCGTTGCCAGTTAATTGAAAACAAATTAGTGATAAATAAATTTATTAAATTTTTTTGAACCTTTATAAATTAAAAGTTTAATTCATTTCACTAAATTAATCTATCAAATTCATTAAAGTTTCTCTATATCTTCTAAATTTGATTAATTAAAATCTTGCCTATAGACTTGTTTAAATCAGCTGTATTCTAAAAAAAAAATAGGATTTTCAAATGAAGATCTTGGTTAGGACCGGTCCAAGCAAAACAGAACCTCTCGGTCCCTGGCTCCAATTCGCGAAACTGCTCTTAGCCCTGCCACTCTCTGCAGTTCGCAAACTCACACTCTCATTGGCACAACTCCTCCCCATCTCCCTCTGATTCGGTCATCAATAAACGCCTCTCCGGCTCTCCCCCTCTCCCGTCGCTCTCTGCTCGCAAACGACGCCAAGGCTGAAAGCCCGTCTCCTCTCTAGTTCGGAAAACCCAGGGTCCGTCGCCTTGCTATTCTCAAGCTACCCAACCGATCTCCCTCTCCGCTCGCACAACCCTAGGGACCCCGACCAAACCCCTCTCTGCTGCGGATTGTTCCACTAGAGGCAGGAGGAAGTGGTAAACCTTCTCTTGTTCCTGATTTTTCTTCTCCTCTTCTTCTTGATTCTTCTTCTACTCTTCTTCCTCTAATTGTTCTTTCTTTTATGGATAATTTTGTTGGATAGTTAGCCTATCAAATGAGGTTATTTAGCTAAATATTCATTCATTTTAGACTTAAATTTCTGCACTTGTTTGGGATGAATACTCCCTTGCCTGTGAATGCTTACTCTTCAAGACTTAACTAGATAGTCTGATGAATCATGAATGGGTTTATGGAAAGATCCATATCATTTAAAACTAATCTCTGTGTGTGTAAAATCTGCAGAATAATATACTTATTGTGGCTTGTATAATGAAATGTATAGTTTGGAACTTTATGCATAGATTGGAGGAAATTATAGCCTCATTTATCAAATGCATCAACGGTGTTCGTGTTTTTGTCTATTAAGGAATGAGATGAGTTTTGGGTAAATAAAGAGCTATTGGGAAAGCATATCTATGTTTTATTTCGTTCATACTCCCAAGAAATATATGAATTAGAGAAAGACAAGAAAACTTTATATATATATTTGTAACAAATGGTAATCATATACAAGTCAAACATTCATATGATTTTCATCACAACATGGTTTTTGATATCTTTGTTTGCTTTCATTGTTGAGCAAGGGTATTTCAGTATCATGTTTCAAGGGATTAAAATTCTCCTCAAAAGAATTCTTAGCGTTGCCTCAATCTTTCTGTTGTGTATGAGTTCATTGGATAATTAAGTATGGAAACATAAAATTGTCTTTGGATCTTCGCATGTGAAGTTGTATTTAAAATAGGCATTGATTAAAAGGATGAAGTTCTTATGTGATTTCATGTTCCAATCTTGAACATGTGTGGGTTAAATGAAAAATTATATGGTTTAAATTGAAAGGTGTTCTTGAATTGTCGGAAGGAAATAAAGTTGCTATAGTGTTCTTTTCTTTCTCAAATTTCATTTGTTATGTGTCGATTTAGAATGAATGAATAAGCTAGAAGAATTGTATGCATGTTCAAGGTTTAATATTATATTGCGTATCAAGGATTGATGAATTTGTTCTCTCTTGGAAAAGCCTATAGGAGCATGTAAGTTGCAATACTGTATTATCAACACAATAAAGCATAGTTGAGTAAAGAAAATGCATATATATATGTATCTTGTGTTTTAAAGTTCACTATCCATGCATATGTGATGTAAAAAGAAAGTTGGGCAAATACATCGGTCGTACCCTTTGAATTTTGGAAAGAAATTTGTTGCAATTGTTTCTTTCATTCAATCATGTATAAGTATTTGAGTTGAAATATGATTTTTATAGAGGTGAAGAAAGCAATTCGCATACTCTCATATGGTGATTTAAGAAAAAGAAAAGTTGTGGGTGCTTTTAGAGATGACATTTGTTTCATTGAATCATGTTAAAGGATTTTCTACATTTTAATATATTCTATATTCATACATGAGAAAATTTTAGTGACTTTTTTATACATTTATAACATGAGTGGTTATGTGTTGTGATGGGGGAAAGACAATGGTGAACATTGATTTATATTTCACAAGGGAAAATGAGTTGTCGTTAAGAGAAGAAATGTTGTGAATTTTGGGACAAGTGAATTGTATTTCAATTTAAAAGTAAAGTGCTTGGGAAAGTATGTGTTGAAAATGAAGTGTTTGAAAAGGTGATGTGTGTGAAAGATAAAAAAAAGTGAGATTTGTGGGGTTTGGAAAGGTGAAATGTGTGTATAATTCGGAAAGGTAATTTGTGAGTTTTCTTTGGAAACTGAAATGTGCATGGAAAAGTAAAGTGCATAATTTTGTGAGAATGGTGTATGTTGGAAAACTAAGAATGGTGAAATTGAGTTTGTATTAAAAGGTGAAGCTTGAGTGTGTTTTGAAAAGTGAAAAGTGTGTAGGTTTTGGAAAAGAAAGCAAAAGTGTAGGTTTTGGAAAACAAAGTGTGAAAAATAGTGAAAAATGAAAGTTTGATTGTTGTGAAGTGAAAAGCAAAGTGTAGATGTTGGAGAATAGGTTATTTAAATGATTGTTGAAAAGCAAAAGCTCTCTTTCTTTCTCTATCTCTCTCTCTTCTTCTTCTTCTTCCTCTTTTTTG